ACCTTTGACAATAACTGACACTTTTACCACCTGTTCCCAAGGAGCTCACGGGACTATAGAGCCAGCAAGTCATTAATCTTCATGGTGTGTCTGTGCGGGAGACAAAGGATGGGAAGAAACTGAGACGTGAAGTTAAGCTAAGGTGAACTTGGTTGCCCGACTAAGCCGGCTAGAGATTTCTGAGCTTCTCATTCGTTTCCAAAACATTCTGCAGCCACTCTGTGCTGAGAGACATTTAGCTTAACGTGTAAAAGTGCACCTTCCCTCCAGCATTCTCTTCACTGCCCCCAATTTATTGCAACTATCAACACAGTAAAAGTGACAAGATGGGCCTCTTGCCGTGAAGGCACAGGGATCTGATTTGAACTTACGTGATGCATTTTATGACAAATGGTGCAGGAGTGCTGAGTGCTGAGCGAAGCCATTTCCATTGCTCCAGCCCGTGGTTACACATGCTCACTAATCAGCAGCTGAATCTATTCTGGATCTCTTACACTTGTGGTTTTCTATTTTATTTTCAAATTTTGGAACCCTGTATTCAACCCAAAGTTTCACACAAGCGTAAACCAAGATGCTGATAAAAACCAACTGAACCCTCAGGAAGTTCCAAGGGTAAGGTTTGAAACCATGTCTTCAGCTACCTGATTAGTACATTAAATCTGCAGGAAAAAGAAAAAATTTGGAGGTTCAAGGCTTGAGAAGAAAGGAGATGGCTGGAATGAGTGCACATGAGGTATGTAGAATTTAGCCATTTAGGCCTGTTTCGGGGAGACTTGACTCTATGCTCTTGGGCAGGAATGCTCCACTTTTGAGAAGTGTGGGCCAGACGCAGTATCTGGGTGCACTCCCCAAACTGGTACTGTTGGGACAACACCTTTACATTCACGGTGGGACATGTGGCCCTCGTTTCCTGCTGCCTCCCCCACGGAGATTCACGGAGGTCTCCACCCATGAACCATGGCGCTGGAGACTCTGGTCAGCCTGGGGACTCACATATTCCTAAGCTATTCAGACATGGCACATGGGACCATCTGTCCATTTGAAGGTTCTGGGAACCCGTCACAATTCTGAGTGAGGCTGATCGCTCTTCCTAGCAAAAAGCAGCTCAAATATTGTCTGCATCTCCCTGAAAAGGCTCCACTGGCTGCCACATCCCTAGGGCCACATGAGGTCCTGTCTGATTTGATGGAGTTACTGCCAATGGAAAAAGACTTCCTGGTGAAGACTATCATCCCTTTCTCCCACTCCCTACTTGCCACCAAAAGGTTTGGCCCAAACCAGAGAGCTGTTCTGAAAGCACAAATTCCATGGTCACCACAGGCCCTTTGACCAAATCTCTGCAATAGGACTGTTCTTCCCAGTGAGATTCCATCTGGGATTGGGATTGGGATGGGGTGGGGAGAGCCTCTAAGGGCTGGCCCAAAGCAGTGGAGATGAGCGAACACACAACGCAGGATCTTTCAATTAAAGTGATGGAAAGAGTGGCGGCTCAATGTGGTCCTGAGAAAGGCAGAAATCAACACAGGGCAAATGCAACAGAGACCCCAAAGAAATGGTCAAACTGAACACGTCTGGGTGCTCTGGGCCTGTGTTGTCTTCCAGTCATAATCCAGCCACTTCCATAGGAGCCAGCAGGGAGAGTCCTTCTAGTTTTCGGGTCACTGATTTTGTGGCTATTTCTTTTTTTAAAGAGGGAGCCTTAAATGTAATTTGTTTTTTTCCTAATAATACACTTTCTATTTAATGCTGGAAGTCTTTAGTATTGATCTTGAGGTGAAAACATCAACAACATTTCCTTTTAAACAAAAATGTAATTTTTTGGTATCATACAACAGTTTGATTCTCTATATACCATTCTAGGGTCATTATATAAATTTTCTGAGGAAAAAAATGGCAACAATTGTCACTAACACCTACTTTTACATTAAACACAATGATCGATGAAGATGTGTGAGATGAATTACATTGAAAGCACTCTCATTCACAAGGGACATTCGCCTTTTCTGGGTTTTGTTCAACATTAGGATCCCGTTTATTATACTTGTGTTTTGATTTCAAAAGTTAACTAAAGCCTTCAGCATGGCAAGATCAACTTGTTGGCTGGGAGGAAAACAATTTCTAAAGTAACACTTGAGTTTCAACAGCTATCGCTGGATCTTTCGGGAATACAGGTAGGCGATCATAGACCACATTGTACTGTTTTTCATGATAATGTTCATAGAACATGGTGCGTTATCATTTTCAACCATATTCTCAAATTTATACATAATCTTTTATTAAAATTATATTCATAATGTGGTGAAATGATGGCACTATAGCTCTGTATTATGTATTGGCTAGAAGTGACTGAAATAAGTTAGCATGATTAACACAAGTATTATAAACCGTTTTATTTTTCTTCACATGTACAATATGTAAACATGGCTTGTCTTCTGCATTTCGGGATGGAATGTCATCTGCATGAAAACTGAATATATTGCACTTAGTCATGTAGCGTAAACAGGTAACACTCCATCAGATCCAGCAGCAGGCACCTGCTCCACATGACAGAACCTTCTTTGGAACACGGAGGACCAAACAGGAGTTCATACTGTTCCCACTTCCAATCAGTGTGGGTTAATTTGCTCACCTAGGGATGGTTTAGGCCAAGATTCTTGGGGGTTTTAAGATAAAAATAAGTATACAAAACATATGAAAAATTAATCCAAATCCAGTGAATACTTTTGTTCATGTCAGGATCAGAGAATCTGGGATCTGAAATGGATAATTATTGTCCAAATTTATCATTTGTTGTTATATGTTTTGCACAAGTTGAAGCAAATGGGATAGAACACATCAGCTGCCAGTAGATATACACGTGTGATAGGTTGGCGTGCACGTGTGTGTGTCACATCTCTTCTTCCCAAGGAGTATACACCAACTTTGCTTTCCTGTGGTTAATCCTAAGAGCAGTTCATCTTAAATAATACATCATTTGTAAAGTCTAAAATGCCAATATTTGCAAATACATTTGTTTTTAACATACTTCAGTGAATACAGGAAGAAGCATCATTATTGTACACTACTCAGGATTTAGGTATTTATTTAGGTAGAAAAAATGCTTTGAACACTCTGGGGAACTAAGTTTCACTTATAGAAGAATATTTCAGGGAAATTTTTCTTTTTTGCATTTTTCAAGGATATACATTCGTACTGATTTTTGCTTCCAAATATATTTTAAGGCTGTTTGGTAAAATATATACCAGATATGAGGCTCAATTTACAGGGTTTTGTTCTTACAGGGAATTCTTAACTATTCAGCTTTAAAAAACTAAAACTTTGAAGCTAAACATGCTTTAATATCAACTGTGCTCCAATGAACCCCATGCTTCATGGAATGGAGAATATGAGGAAAACGAAAAACGGTGGGCTTAAAGAATGCCCCAATTGTGTAATTACCGTGCTGGATGCTCTTGATAACATTATCACGCTGCAGAGAAGCTGGGTGCATTTTAAAGTGCGAGTCAGGTGAGGACAAAGTGCTACAGGTCATCAGCCTTCCTGCCCGTGGCCGAGTACACGGTACTCCGGAAGCAGCGGGAGGAAGACCTGGGGTTTGGGTGGAAACATCTGTCTTCCATGCAATCCTGCTTTGACCTTGAGTTACAGTGAGAACTCTGATTTGGGACCAAATGGATAAATTTGATAGGCTCTTCCTTTGAAGACGTGTCTGCATAGCAATACACAAGTCGTGTTGGAGCGATGGTCACTGCCTGCGTCTAAATTTAATTAGACAAACGGAGAGCCTTCTCGTTAGAGTCCTTCCTGGTTTTCTCTGGCGCCAATCAGAATCATGAAAACTAATTACTTAAAGTCTGCAGCTGGAAATCACAATATGTGACCTTTTTTTTTTGTCATGTCTAAAACAGGCAAGAAATATATTCTTGACTTGAGCAATACTGCATAGGACAAAAGAATTCTGGAAAAATACAAATGTAAACTACATTTCTTCTTTACCATTTAAACTGAGATATACTTACCACTCACATTCATATTTCTTAAACTTTTTACAACATCACAACTGTCGTTTTAAACAAGCAAAGTTTTTTTTTTTTTTTTAAGGATACCCTGGAAAGTCAACTGATAGAGCAGTTTGAGAATATATATACATCTACAAAAAACCACGTGTCACATGAATGGTGAAACTTAAAGACAAACCGTGTGTGATGTTTTAAGTTACAAAGGAATAAAAAATACAATGACTCTTTCAACAGAGTGAGCACATTTTTTTTTTCTTTCTACTCCTGCTACAGAAGAGCTAGCTTTTCTGAAAGCTCCGATCTCCTCTCATCTGTCACTCCCTGGTGTGAATGAATATTCAGCTTAGTTTTGATTGTGCAGATTCTGGGTTTTTTTTTTAAAGGGTTCAGACTTGTACACCCCCGCGTTTCAGGACAACCACATGGTGGGGAGTTTGGTGGCTGTAAGTTCCCTTCTCACACCATAAACTTGGCACAGGGAACCTAGTGACAGGTCGACTGGATTCAGGGAACAGTAATCCTGGTTAGAGGGGGTGGGGGTCTTTCTCTCCTGCACTTCACGCTGTAGCACCTTCCACTTGGGGTATCTAATGCCTCTAGTGAGTGGTGAGATGCACCCATTTATAGTTATTTGTTATTCTTGCCTCTAATTATCTCACAATTTATAAAAATATAAATAACAAAATGTAAGCTGGGTTCCATCTCAAGAGGTGTTTCTCGTTATCCTCTGAGAACAGAGCGGATAAGTCAGGTGTCCCCACGCCCATCCATCATCGCCGACTGCAAGTCAGACCATCCGGTGGGAAAAAAGGAGTCGTTCTGGCCGGGAGCTCGGCAAACTGCGGAAATCAAAAGCCTTCCAGTGTGTTTATGGCACAAAGAACACGACAGCGAGGGCGTATTTGGTGGAGAGACGACACAGAAATGACCAGGTGGGGAGAAACTGTACAAGCGTTTTGTGGAAAACAGAAGAAAAGACAGCAGGGGAGAGTTGCCGCTGTCGGTCCCTAGAGCCGGGTCTGGGCCTCCGGGATGTAGATCTCGATGCTGTCGGCCCGCTCCGTGGCAGAATTCTGTCGGAAGGAGGCGGCCCTCTTGGCAGCCATGAGCCGTCGTCGGGCCTCTTGACGCTGTCTGTCGGGCAGGTCCAGGGACTTTTCTCTCGTGATGGGAAATTTCCCTTTAGGGGGCTTCTTTGGTATCGGAGGGGGGACCTTTCTTTCTTCCTGAAAAGCAGCACAAGCCAAAATTGGGGGGAGAGTCAGAGGAGAGCAGCACCAGTGCACAGACTCGGTCCCACGGGGTGGGGAGTGCCCTCAGAGGGTGAGCTGCCCTGACATTACCCATCTACGCAAATCTGCCCTTCTCCCGACTCCCACAATCACAGCTTGCCTTCTGCATGGTACATACTTTCTGTAACTTCCCTCAAATTCTTCAAGGTCAGGGGAGGAGTCTGGCAAAGGGGTTACAAACAAGGAAATACACTCCACACATTAACATTTAACATCTCCTTCTTCTTAGATTTAGTTTGACGTTGTTGCTAGATTAACACTTACCATGTCATCGCTGAGCATTGGCAAATACCCACAATTCCAAGCTCTTGAGATGCCCCTTGACATCCCTGTCATGGGCTATAGTCTGTTCAACAAACTCTGGAATTCCAAGGATGCTCATGAGAACCATCGTACATGGGTGTCCTAGGGAACCATTGGCCAAATTTTCTATTGTGGGCCTAAAACCTCTGACATTAACAATATTTATATATATAATGAGTTTTCTCCTGCTTGGTAAAAAGATGGAAATAATTATTTCTGACCCTTACCTCATGTTCTCAAACAAGTCACACCAAAATAGGTGTATGCTGTTTTCAGAAAGATAAATTCTACAATTCGGCAGCAAATGCAACACATTATGCTTGCAACCATTCTGGGGAAAGGTCTGTGTCCCAAACTGTGTTGTGTTATGTCGTGTTCATCCAAACTAACAGAGTAGGACCTACCACCGACCCTCCTTCCTAATGGATGGAGGGCAGGAACTCTGCCGAGACAATTCTCTCCTTCCCAGGAATGGGTATACTATGTAAGGAGCCAGAAACCTTCCTTTTCTAAGCAGATATCTAGCTGTTGGGGAGGAGGGGCACAAACCCACCACTGTGTCTTTTTCCCTTCAGCTTCCACAAAAATCCAAAGGGGGCCAGGGGTGCTTGGACGCTGGGGGAAGGAAGCAGCAGCCATGCGAGTTCAGGGGGGACACATGAGGCAGATCCCAATGTTGTGTAATATGGTTTTTGGCAGGAAGATTGTTTTGGTGTCTGCAACTTTGTTCCCCTGGCTTATTTTAAAAAGACTTGGACCAGAAGCAATGAGTCTCTCTGGACTTTCTGGTATGCGTCCCAACAATGGGGTAGGTAATTCATTAAGCCTCTCAGCTCCTCCCAAAGTTAATTCTTGCATTAGCACATGACTGTATTTACCTCTTTCCTCCTCTCTTGGTGGCCTCTGAAATATGGGGCTGTAAGAAAAGCACACTAACAATCCTCGAGAGAGTCTCCTTTTTAAGGGGGCTCACACCCTCCAGGCGTCCTGCGGTAGGAGAGAGTTGAGCAGGTGTCTTGTGGATCCAAGGAGTAGTGGCAAGAAGTGTGTCTGAAGGATACGGCATGGGGCCTCAGTGGTGTTAAAGAGCTGCTCATTATCTGGACTGGGGGGGCTATATCCTCAGTAAGAAACCGTTTCATTTTGAGGACCATTCTCTACGTATAGCTTAGGTAGAAGGGTAGCTATCAATTACTGAAGAATGAAAAATAGGAAGGATTATTGCATATCTTTAGGTTAGTTTAGTAAGTTCTATGCTTAATATTTTATTAGAATAACTGTTTCATTCGGAACCATTACTTAGGCTCTCCTTCACTTTAAAACCAAACCATAGACCACCTGGACATGCTTACGTACCATTTATGGCTCACGTACAATCTATGTACTCGCACACCCCCTGCCCCTGTTATCTGTGGTAAGAGGGACTTTGTCAGTCATCCACGATGGCATCTATGGCATCTAGCCTGGAACTCCACTAAGACCTTCAACGACACCTTTTGGGGAAGAGTAGATGATAACGATGGTGGCTTTCATTCCAATGATCTAGGTATACATCCTCAGCTATATATTAAACACCACTGCCCAAAAGTATGTTGGATTAATTTTCTTTAACATTTTATTTTAATTGATAACATCTGTCTAGAAAAGTCAGATTATAATTACTTAGAACTTCTCTAAAATGTGTTAGGAAATTAAGACATTTATTGCTAATTCAGACCTATCTGTTAGCCCCATGAAGATGATATCTTCAGGGAAGAAGTGAAATCATAGGGTTCAAATTTAATGGAAATTTTAAACCTATGTTCAGGGCCAAGGCTGACAGATCTACAGGAAGTTTACATCATCAAACTGTTCAGTAAAGTTCACAATGTCTTCTTGTCTTCAACTGCAGCTATGCAACTAGAAAGTTGACCTGAGTGGAAGACAGTCATTGTACCCAGACCTGAAACTTCCCTGTCGGAAATCATCTTCCTACAATCCAAACAGAGGTTTGATGAAAATAATTCAGAGGACAGATCCCTAAGAGACGTGAGACTAGAGATTTACATGTGATTTTTGGGTAGTGTCTTCTCTGAATTGTCTATGGCCAAGAGACACAGCAATAGAGAAACTATTTCCTCCACATGGCCAATGACTTAACTCCATCCAAGTTTATGAACACACATAGATATACAGATATGAAAATGTGATCCTGTATTGCTAACCAAAGACCGGGGACCACCTTATAATGTAGTGTTTGGAGCAGACCATTTCTGCAACTGGATTAGCTCCCAGGAGGCCAACTACAGCGGCGTGCCAGGAAACCACGTGGCGTGGGCATAATTACCTTCCTTTCAGGAGACTCTATGATCTTCCAGTCGTTGAGCTTCAGCTGGTGCAGCTCATCGAACTTCATGCTGACGTCCTCGATGGAAAGCTGCAGCATGTCCCAGTACCCTGCAAGGTCCTGGGACGTTGGTCTCGGCATGGCGCTGGGGTCCTGAGAACACACGTGGAATGGAATTTAGAGCCACGACAGTCTCCAGCTGGGAGAGGGCTTGGGGTAGCTGCTCTCTCCCACATGTGCCTTTCAAGGGATCGGATTAGGGAGAAGCCTGACTAATCCCAATTCTGATGCAAATATTCAGGAGCGCCCAGGATGATTCAATAACGGTTTACTTTACACAAGTATTTGCTAACAGTTTAAAAACATGAAAAGGCTATGTCCTGTATGATTCCAACTTTAAGACATTCTGGAAAAGGCAAAACCATGGAGACAGTAAAAAGACCAATTGTTGCCGGGGATTAAGGGGGAGGGAGGGATGAACAGGCAGAGCATGAGGATTTTTAGGGCAGTGGAACTACTCTGTATGATTCTACAGTGGTGGACACATGTCATTATCCATTTGTCCAAACCCATGGAGTGTACAACACCCAGAGTGACCCTAATGTAAACTGGGGACTCTGGGTGATGATGACATGTCCATGTAGGTTCATCAGTTGTGACAAATGTACCAGCTGGTGGGGATGTTGATAGTGGGAGAGGCTGTGCATGTGTTGGGGGCCGGGGGCATATGGGAAATCTCTGTACCTTCTGCTCAATTTTGCTGTGAAGCTAAAACTGCTCTAAAAAAAGTCTATTAAATGTATATATATGTAGTACATTCATTCATTGTTTCATTTTGAAAATGCTTTCTTAGAACCTGGGAATGGTGGTAAATATTAAAGTTTTTAAAAGCGTCACAGTTCATAAAAGCAATAGGGGCCTGCGTTTTTGATCACCTGTTGGATCATTCAGAAGCCTGGTGCTCAGGACAGGGATTACGAGGGTCTGCTGCGGTGTTGGCAGTGGTGGGGCTGTGATGATAATGGGCTTGGACTACTCCTATTTCCTTCTGATTGTTCTCTGATGGGTCCCAGCTCTAATTCTGACTGTCAGGGACAGCCTACACATGCACCATGTATTTGCTTTGCTCCCATGTGGAGGGAGGATAGACACGTCATCGTATGAAGGAACAAAACAGTCTCATAGACAGCTTCCCCGAACTCAGAAGGTACAGGTGATGCCACAGAGCCACAGACTGGCAGCTCGTGGGCCAAATGTGGCCCAAAGATGTGTTCTGTTTCTCTGCACATTGCACAGTTTCAACGAGCTGTCTGCATTTAAAGTTGGGTGATCACAATATCAGAGCGCTGGCCGCCCAGCCCATTCCCACATCACACAACACTGGCGGAGTGACCGCAGCCCGGCGGGCACCTCTCTGGTACCTCAGCCCCACGTCCTCCGTCTGATGCAGGCTGGCTTCTCTCCGTCCCTTCACCTGCCTGCAGGCATGTGAGTTTGCAACCATGGGTTAAGGGTATGGATTTTTCTGCATGTGGTTCCTTTGATTCAGTGGGAGGCTGTCTCAGATTAAACAGGCAGAGACATTTCTGGTGGATAAGCATTTATCTAAATTTGCTTAAAATGTGCAATTTTCAGTTTACTCATAAGTTGTTCACATTAAGTACAACACAAACTTCTATTTGGTTTGGTTTAAGCTTCCTTTAACCTATGTCTTAGCCTATTCAGGCTGCTATGACAAGAATATCACTGGGGGGCTTGTGAACAACAGAAATTTGCTTCTCAGGGTTCTGGAGGTTGGAAGTCCAAGATCAAGGTGTCAGCAGATTCTGTGTCTGGTGAGGCCCGCTTCCTGGTTCATAGACAACATCTTCTCTGTGTCCTCACATCGGGGAAGGGGCTGGGAGCTCTCTGGGGTCCTTTTATAAAGGCACTAATCCCATTCGTGAGGACTCCACCCTCATGACCCAATCTCCTCCCAGAGTGCCCCCTCCTAACACCATCACCTTGGAGGTTAGGATTTCAACATGTGATTTTGGGGGGACACACACATTCAGTCTATAGCAACCCAGGTTGACATCCATATCAAAATGATTGCTTTTGATCCCAATCTCATTCTGAGTACGCAACCAGATGGTGGCCAGTGCTAACAGAAAGGGTCGGAGGGTAAGAACTGCCACCCGAAGCGATTGCAGAAAACGCCCTCACCTCCTCATCCTCAGAAGTGAGAATTGCAATTCCGGGCGGCTTTCTGCTCTGTTGAAGCTCGTTCTTCTGTTGAGCCACAAGAGGGCCACCTCAGCCGTGCAGATCCCCAGGAGCAGAGGCCTCCCAGGTCCAGCGAGGGTTTCACAGGACCAGGCCACGCCGAGCGGGCAGCTCTGGCCCAGAGACAAGAGAGCCCACTGGGCTTCGGGTTTTTCACTTTGTGTATGAATCTGAACTCAACCTCTGCTTGTGAAGAACAAGAAAACAAACTCTTGTGTTGGGGCCGCGTCCTGCGTGAGGACAGAACAAGGAGCCCGAGGGCTCCACGGTCGGGGCAGGGTCACGTTGGTGGGAAGAGGACTTCTCACACCAAAGGACGCATCGTTGGGTCCCAATTTGAGTTTCTAAGTGAGGTTTGTGTTTCCTTCTTCTGGAAGACTTCACAAATATGGCGAACTTTCTTTTTTAGGTTCAGGCGTCATGGTGCCTGATGTGTGGGAAGGAAGCAGAGTGGCTGCTCCTGTCAAGTCCCAAAGGTCGGACTGCTGGGGTCTGGTCACGTCCTCAAAGAGAAAATCTAAAGAAGCATCTGGGCGGCGGAGGTCAAGGCTCCCGTCGACGTTTGTCCTCACCGTCACTCCATGAGGCTGACAGAGCGGCCTCTGGGCTCCCCTGGAAGTACAGCCAGGAGCTGGTCCCACGGCCTCTATTCTTTTCTGGGGGAGGTGGTTGCATCTGTATCCACTGGACATTCAGATACCCTGATATGTTTATAAATTTTTCTTAAATGTCACTGGTGTATCATGCCACGCTCTCCCAGCAAAGTGACACAGCACTCGAAATTCTTGTTAAACTGCGGTCATGTAGAATTCACTTTGCACCCTGGCTCCGACACCTAGGGTCCCTGTGATATGGCCCCTGATGCTCCCAGGCTCTGGAGCGTTTCCTTGCATGCCGGTGGTATACAGAGAATGGCTGAGAAGACCGAACACACGCCTTGTGGATCTTGTTCAAACGCAGAGTCGACCCACAGGAGCGAATGCGATTCTGCATTTCTACTAAGCTTGCTGCGGATGCTGCACTGCTGGTCCAGGAAGCACAAGCATCAACCTACAAGCTCAAGGGCAGACCCTCTCCAGTGTCGTCTGCATGCTGGTTATGTGATGAGTCACCCATACGTCCTTACCTTGAAGAGTGTCTGCTCTGTGAAGTCTACCTTAAATGTCCAGGCAGGTTCTGACTTATTTTTCAGAGTCATTCCTTTGACTTGAAATTTATTTACCAACCTAAAGCTTCCAGCAACCAGCAATGCTGCTTTTAATTGTGGGCAATTTGGCTTTGATAAGCAAGACATCTGCTTATCCTTCCAGCATCCCTCCCCTGCCAGGCCTGTCTTAGACAACCCCCACCCTTCTCCAACAAATGCTTCAAAGTTTTTTTTGGTCTAATCCTAGATAGAAGCCAAAATAAAAGGAAGTAGACATGTCAAATATTTCAAAATTCAAAAGCATTTTTTTTAAGGTTAACATGAAGTGCAATCTGACATATATAAGAGGCATCAAAAGTATTGGGATGGATAAACTTTAAGTCTAATATTAGCTGCATCTGGCAGAGAGGATGTGAACATTTTGTGGGCCTGAATGACGTACCTCTGCTACTCACAGGACGGGCACTGTAGACGACCATTTCCTAAAGACGGTGACCACCTGTGCTTACCGACTCAGTGAGACACGGCGCAAGCTCTTTAGTGGCCTAAATCAGTACTTTAAAGATGATAATTAAATAGATATTACGGAAGAGGCTATTTACGGAGGAGAACACGCCTGGTAAGCATGATAACTGAATGTCTCCACAGCTCTATGTCTCCTTCTGTTCTCGCTTTTCAAATGATGATTATCACTTCATGTCATATGGACATGTTCGTAACTCTTTAAATTTCATGATGAACTTTAATGGAGTTAATTGGAGAATATTAGAGAAAACATACTTTTTAACAAACCCAATTAAAAGGGGTGAACTGGCAACTCTGATGTCCTGTGCTTCCTTTGATGTAGAAGAACATCCTATAGGTTCACGTGTCTCCTCGCAAATTAAAAAGCAAAACAAGACAAAATCAAATCACTCAGCACTGTTGCTACGTGCACGAGGCCTAGAGGGACCTATTTGCATTTTAATGAAAATGTTTGGTCTGAAGGAAATCAATGCATAGATTATAAAATAGCCTATAAAGTAATATGTATACTATTTAGCAATTTCTCTGAATAAAATTAAGTGAATACTTTGTTTAGTAAGATAAGATAAATACAAACACACACATATTCATACATAGATATAGTGTGTGTATATATATGTTCACATATGTATATGCAAGTATATTGAACATATATATAAATATGTTTATATATACATGGTTTTCTTTCCTTTGATTTTCAGGAAGATCAGAACCAAGCTTAATGCCAACTATATTAATAACCTAGTTAATGGAATACTCATTTCACTCCTGACTATAAAATATGAAGCACAAATTATTTCTAAAATGTCTGTAAATGTAGTTGTTTGTGTTTTATTCAAGCCACTTCATATTACTGTCTTTATTTGTGACCTTAATTTTCATTTCCTTTGCTAAGTTCTCGGTGGAAACCCAGCTGCCAAGAACATCTCACAGCACAGGGGACATTTCTGTCTTCCCACCCAGCCCTGCTCCCTCTTCCCCCAACACTCCTGCAGCCTCTTTGCCTGGGGCCATGTTTAAGCGTCCCCAGAACCCAGAAGCACCCTCTCTTCATTCAATAGTCTTACAGGCGTCTTAAACAGGAAAGGAGCGAGAAGGTAAAGAGAGCGCGTTCAGCTTGGTTATAGGACCTGAGGTGACCTGAGGACTCACTTACCATATTCTGTTGGCAAAGCCAATAAAACTGCTGGAATTTCTGGGACATCAGAAGCTGGGCACTCCCCACAGCACTCCTGATCTTACCGAGAACTGTGCAAAGACACAAACAGGTTTAAAACTGGGTCAGTCAAAAAACCAAAGATAAGCATTTCACTGGGAGTGCAGCTATCGTCTCCTCTGCTGGGGTCACAGCTTTGCATTCATTGTGGGGACACGTCCACGACTGGATTTTCTTTCACTCTGCTCATTCCTGATTCACGATAATAGCTTTGGTAGATCCCAACTCACGTGATTCTCAAAAGCACTTAGGAATCTGTTGGAATACATTGCTTACCACTATACCCCGGGCCTGTTTATCTCAGATAAGTGTTATTGCCTAAGCAACAATTTAAAAGTTATTCATAGACTTGACACCACATCTAGCTCTTACAGCCAGAAGTGGATTATTCCCACCTGCTCAATTTCGTCTTCTCTGTTGGGGGTCCCTCAAGACTGTTTGCAGCACACAGATAACAACTAACCAGACCAGCCACTTTCAAACTCAGATACCTGCTAGTGACTAGTTCAGTCCATCGACTCTGGCTTTCACATGAAGAGAGCCATGGCCAGCTTGTATCTGCCAACGCTGGGCGGGAATGGTTAAGGAGATCTGTCGTTCACGAGAGCAGAGGTGAGAGAACCATCGCCACTCACATGATATTTGTGTGCTTATGGTTTATCTACTTCAGGGTGGAACATTCACGTACTCAAGGTTTCATCTAGAGAAGACAGCGAGTAGAGCTCAAAGACCCAAACAGCAAGCACATGAGTCTCCTGGGGGTCTTGTTACGAGGTCGATTCTGACTCAGTAGGTCTGGGGTGTGGCCTGATACTGTGCATTTCTCACAAGCACCAGGGCTGCCCGTGCTGGTCCACGGGGCACCCTTGACTATCGAAGCTGTAGGGATTGTCCACAGAGGCGGAAACTGAGGTCCAGAGAAGTAAACTCAATTCCATGAGCTTTCTCCCATAATTTCCACAAACATTAGTAATTTTAACGGGCAGTCTCCAAACCAATTATTTGTCAGGCTCATTCAATGTGTGTTAGAATGTGGCATTAAAGATTCTGATGTCTTGACAGCCAAGCCACGCTGCCGCTGTGTTCCCTTTCCTTGGCCTCACTCCGGGGGAAAAGGAATAATCACAGACGGTGGTTGGAAAGCGCCTTAATATCCACATAAAGAAATGCTATGAGGCTATTGAAACTGATGTCCCAGAAATAAACCTACTAGTGTGAAAAGATGCTTAAGACAAGCTGTAATGTAAATAAGTCAATCCCAAAACAGCAGGTACAGCACAGCATTCATTTTCTAAAAACGAGGGTCTGGCACTACATATAACGCGTTCTGAAAAGTGATCTTCTCCTGCGTAAGATAATGGACTTAGAAACGTCTTCATTTGTCTGTATTTTCTTATCTTCTGTAATGAACTCAGATTGTTGTTCCCCAAAGTTTTCTTACGAAAAATGTCACACGTACAGAAAATTCGAGAGAAAAGTCTCACAAGCACCTCTGTCCTGTCACTTAGAATCAGCAGTTAGCACCCTGCCACACGAGCAGGTTGATTTCTCTGAACCACCTGAAGATGAGCTGGAGCCAGCACGTCCCTGCCATCGTCCTGTACAAGCCCAACGTCATTATCATGCCTAAGAAGTTAATAAATCCCTAATAGCATCTAATTCTAGATGGCATCTAGGATATTAAAAAAGAGTTTAAAAAATGTAACTTTTAATAAAAGTGACTGTTAGATCATACTTTGGCATCCTTTTAGACTCAAAAAAAGAAAAAATGGTACATCGTCAGGCATGGTGATACCTGGCCCTCTGTCTTTTACAAATCCACTTCATGAGGGGCTTGCACACCACCCCACCCCACCCATCCTGCCCACCTCCTTGATCTGATTTGTCAGCGTCTGGCAGCGGGGAGGGGAGTGACACACACACAGGAAGGAAGCAGGAGCCCCTGAAGGTGGCGCAGGGTGCAGAGTAAGGGATGGGCTCAGTTCAGGATTTAACATGCAGTGGAGGAAGGCAGTGGGATTGGAGCATTTCCTAGAAGGGGTGAAAGTCCTTCAAACTTTGTCCACATTTTGATCCCTAAACTGAACACGTTTCTGCAGCTCTGGTCTCACTGCTCCGTGTGGAGGATCTACCTTTGGTTTTGAAATGTTGAATTTCCATTGTAAACCCCATTACCTGCATGACTGATGAAAACATGTAAAGAGACTCGTCTTAATCAAGCTGTCCCTGCAGGAATATATAGGAGTGACGAATAAATGTGCTTCTTTTTACCGAGTCTATGCTTCCTCAAATGGCAATTAAAAAGTCAATCAGTTTTATACAATTTGAAGTTTTAATCCCTAATTTTCATATTCTTCTTAAAATGTAATTCAACGGAAACATTCACATAAAGTCCTTCACTTTATAATCTTTAGCACCACACGGATAGATGGGCACTATCTTGGTGTTGATTGAATGTAGTGAAGGGTTATTATAAAGGGTAGAAATTGATTATTGCTGGGAGAGATCATGAATGTCGAAGAGTGTAGCTAATGATGTGATGGCTAATGGCAGGAGGATTTTGCTGTTCACGGAACGGGGATGACTCTATCTGAAACCTATCATGTAAATAGCTTCCGATAATTGCAAAGAATTCAAAGTGAAAATTCAATTCATTTTTTTCCATTATACCTCCCTAATTTTGTCATAGTTTAGACACTTTTTCTTTCAAGAGCTGCAGATAAGGACTAATGCTCATCAGAATGCAGATTTACAAAGACCCTGATACAACCCTCGCCTTTGATGTACAAAGAAATTTGATTAACTTACTTGCTCCTTTAATTTATTCTTCACACGTCTTCTACAATTTCCAGTTCTACCTAAATTTGCTATGAAACGCCAGGACAACATTTACACTATCCTTTTCTTCTAAAATTTGAAGTGGATTTTTGTAGACTTTGCAGATCGTTGGAAATGATCATTTGAATATTTATTACCTCCTGATCTCCTAGGATTCCTTCGTGACTAATGTCGTAGAGCAGGTGTGGAGAAATTGCTGCTTCCACGACTCTCCTCCCTTCCAGATCTCAAGCTTGACCATTTTCCTATTTATCGAGCACACTTTTCTTTTTATGCTCCTGTTTCCCCATGGTCATTTGGTGGTTGGGACGTGTGGGGACATCTCCATAGGGCACTTACCACATATTTAGCAAGAACCTGGGCACAATCCCTGGTTTGTGTCTGCTATCAGAAGTCTGGAAGCAGTGGCTGCTCTATCAAGCTATACAATACGTTGGATCCCTGAGGCTCCTATAACCAAGTGCCCGTAGCATCTCTTCTGCTCAGAATGATCGTCATTATTTCTGATTCTCCAATTTGTTCTCTGCTCTGTTGATCTGAGACATCCTGGGCAAACTGCAGACATAGCTGCAGCTTCTCTCTGGTCATGACCTCCTCATCCCCCTGCATTAGGATGTGGTCCATGCATTCTCAGGTCACTCTGAGCTATCTGTCATTTCCTCTTCCCTGTGCTGACTGCAGCTAGACATCTCCCTACTCCGGAGATCATGGCACCTCAGCATGGATGAAGGTCTGGGAGACCCAATGCCATACATCTAATCCTAACTCTTGTGTAGTATGGTCTGTGAACCTGTGGGTCCGTCACTCACTGTGTAAAAGGAGTCCCTTAGACGAGGAAATCCTAAAGCCCCCCTGGCTCTGTGAGTCTGGTTCGGTGTATCTGACCAGCTGATATTTAACATTAGCCATTTTGGGCAGAGTTGTTTTGGGGCAAGAGAACTTCTCAACACCTTTCAAAAGACCCCATTGTCAAGTTCATCATGTGATTCATTCTCTATGAACTTATTGAATAAGATCTTTGTAGCTTTGGAACAATTTCTTTTGTTTCAGAAAACATACTATTTTTTCATTTCACTCTATGCCATTTACCTGTTTGGTTAAACATAATTAATACAAAAATCCCCAAACACTAGTCTAGTAATGGTTTACAATCCCTACAGAATATAACTATTTATGTACTAACAATAGGAAGCCTATATTAATATGACTTAACCTACACCAGTATTTATGTGGGCTCACAACAGTTTTTATTAACCACAGAGGATTGAATGAATCTAAATTCCTTCAATCAGTTCAGTGAACTGTTATTATAAAATTACAGTTTGGGAAAAAATAATTTTACGTAATGGAAATTTCAATATTTGTGCTCAGAGCTTTGATTTAACAAGCCATTTAATTTAATCTTTACTTTTAAAAGTGCTGAAGCCAATAACCCTGTATATCTGTTCTTAAAATTAGGACTAGAATAGAAGGTTACCTTACCTTTTAAAAGTTATTAGGGAAAAATCTAAATGTGATTAATATGGTGCGAGGCACACAGAGGAGATACATACTAAGTGTTTTGCCATCTTTGTCCACAAAAAGATCAAGATATCTGGGCAACTTTAGAAAAGAAATGAGGAAAATCACAAAAGGATCAAATGGGGTCTATTCTCTGTTCCTTATGTCCAAGGCTCACAGCAATGCAGTAACATATAGTTATGAAATAGCGGTGGCAAAACCCACGTCAAATCAAAATTATTTAACTGGTATCTACAGAACGGGGAGGGCACAGGACACTCCCAGCCCCTAAATGAGGGCGAGTGAAGGATTTGCTGGGATTCTCAATGCTATGCTTTTAGGTAGGTGTGAGTAGGAGTGTGAATACCCTGTTTATTAAGACTGCCCATCTCTTCCCTCCTCCTAATTCTCCATGCAGAGGAGAGGGTTTTGTACCAGGCATAAGTGCATCAAATGCCACCCCTGCATTCAGGGATCCTAGATCTCAAATGACAGCAGAGGGGCAGAGCTTTGAGAAAACACAAGGCTGTCCCATCCTTTGAGAAACGCACATCCCTAAGGGAGTGGAGGACAGCAGAGCCAAGGGACGGAGAGGTCAGCAGCCCAGCCTCTCCCCGAGGCCAGCGGGAGGTCCAGATTAAATGAGGGTCCTCTTAGACAGGGGCTCCGGGCTCCACTTCTTTGCCTGGGCTTGTGCCCTCGAAGCTCCTTTCTCTCCTCTTGCCCCACCTGCCCGACCAAATCCTGCTCCCCTTCACGGGCCAGCACAACGCCGCCTTCACCACGAAGCCTTCTCCGAATTTTCCTCGTTGAAAGCACATCTCACATCTCTGAGGTTTTAAAGCACTTTGGCTGCACTTCTCTAATTACACTTCATATTTCCCACTCGCCACGCGCAGTCTTGCTCTGGCCTTACTTCACCCCTCTTAGTTACTGCAGTCAGTGTCTGGACTGTATCTTGTTCATTTTTGCATCAATCTCCAGTCTATTGGACAGTAGCTGGATCATGGTACGTATTCAACAAGTATCTGTTGGATGTTCACAGTAATGAAAGAGACCAGAAGAAGATCCCAAAGGTTCAAAAAAGGGTTTAAAAAACTTGTTTAGGGAAATACAATTGAGGGGCAGCAGAAATCACTTTCTGCTCTCAAAGAAAAACTTATTCTCCAGATGCCTAATAATAAGGCAACTGAAATTTAAATACTGTATATCTTATTGTATTGAATTAAATACTGTATATCTTATTTGGGTCATTGTAGGTCATTAAATTGAATTTCATATACAGAGCACTTATGGCATTATTCTTAGAATTTTCTTGAATGCCCCCAGTGACAAGAAAATCATGACTTAGAATGACAATGCTTTAGCGCTGAAGCCTGTTGTTAGATCTTTCATGATTAGCTTGAGCAAGAAGGTGCCTCCTTTAAACTTGCACCTCTGAATTTCCAATGGCTATGGCTCGATGACCTCAGTATCTATTTTATCGGCTCAGGGATTCTCTCTGGACCATAATGGGTGTCACAGCTACCGTGGATCAGAATGAAGTAAATGGCCAGGAATAGGGACTCCACATTTTCTAAAATAGCAGAAGAGGCAGTGCATAAGAATACAAAGAGGAAGAAAGCAACATCGGGAGGAAGTTTCCAGTAAAGGAACATTTTGATGTAATCACTTCAGACTGCGTAGTGGAAAAGCAGTGCTTTCGACAGCAGACAGCTATAATTTTGAGTCCTCATCCCATCGCTACGCTCTATGGAATCTGGGGCAAGGTATTAACCTCTCTGAGCCTCGGTTTCTTTATTTTGCTAATGGTGACACTACCATCTACCCATCACAGTACGGTGAGCATCTAACGAGGTGTGTAAGCCACTTAACATAGGAGTCGGCAGGTCATAAATGTTCAGAACGTGCCGGCTTAGAGATGTCTTTTAAAAAAAAATATATATCTTTTTTTCCAACTATAATCTTTGAAAAAACAATGAATAAATATGGGAAATGATGATGAGGTAAGAATTGTTCTGCGTTATCTTACAAATGCAGCAATGACTGACATCTCCTTTTCTTCTACACACAAAGGGAGACCAGAACTTGCAGATGGGTCTGAAATGGTGTAAATTTAAGTGATTGTAGAAGAAAGTTTCATAGACACATTATGGGGCTAAGAGCTGACAAATATCACCCCTTCCTGAACTTCTTCCTATCTGCGCCTCTTCAGAGATGTTTCACTGAGGAGCCACGGGAGATAGAAGATACGTCTTAACTGCTCAACACTCACCTCCCGAGTTCCAAGCCCTGACAGATGTGTACCAACCCCAGGCTGTACAGGTCAGTGCTCACCCACCTGGAGCTGACACTCTAACTAGAGGTTTGTGTCGACCCAGGCAATTTAGTTTTTCTGTGTTTCTTTTCTGTGATAAAGATTACAACTCCCTGTTACAATTAAAACAATCTTGCCAAGTTGAAGCACAGACCAACAAATGAAAAAATGCTGCAGGAAACAAGTGATTTTTAAATATCTGAATTGTGAGCAATCATCCCATTAAATGTACCCTAAACGGATGATAAATTTAGACAAATGCATGGGAACAGTTTGGATACTGTTACACTGACATTCGTCAGCCACAATGCAGCACAATGCTGCACGGCAGCAATACAGGAACAGGCAGCGGGGGGGGGCGGGGGGGTCAACGCTTCACCATGGCAACACTTCCTCCAAAAGACTCTGTCTAATATCAACTCAAGAAAAGGATATCTGGGATCATGACTAAGAGAGAGATGCAGGAGAACATAATTAGTAAGTTAAAGCCCATCTCTCCCTTTCTTCATGGGTTAACACCATAAGTTCTAACAACTAAAGATCAACACCAATGATTTCAGCAGACTTCTTCAATTCCAGGGCCACTGTGCTATAAGTTACGGTCCATATCCCTGTATCATTGCACTTTCACTTCTAGGATTCCTGACACATCCTATTACAGCAGTCATCCAGAAGTCCAAGGTCAGAGCGAAATTCCCAAGGACATCAGCGATCCTCCTGAATTCAAAATTTATAGTGATCTGGCCAAAGTACGAAGGAATTTATGGAAAAAGAAAAAAAGACATTAAAGGGAGAATGATTTGTCAAGTCAAGAGATTCAGAAATTCCTTTGTGAAATTGCATTTTGGTAAAGACAAGGGTTAGTTCTAAGGGTGCTGCAAGTATTCTCATGGTATTCTTGGTCTATAAACAAGGACACGTAGTGTTTGTTTAGAAAGCACATACAGCAATTCATGAAGGATGCTGCTTCTGGACAAGCCCCATGGTGGGGTCCTCAGGTCAATGGGAGGCAGGTGGAGAATAAGGGATGCTGTCTCTCTCTACAGAGGGAGGCAGGGACCCAGGATTGGAGCAGATCTGCACCACTGACACGTGGTCAGGGAATCACACAGATCGCCACTCAGCCCTGTGACGGGAGAGCTGGGAGCGCACTGTCACATCGCTGACCAGTGAATCTTTTACTTTTCTTCAACTTTTCTTTGGCATAAAGCCAAAGCAATTCCTTTTTTCTTTTTTTTTTGGTGAGGAAGATTAGCCCTAAACTAACATCCATTGCCAACCCTCCTCTTTTTGCTGAGGAAGATTGGCCCTGGGCTAACGTCCATGCCCATCTTCCTCTACTTTATATATGGGATGCTGCCACAGCATGGCTGGATGAGTGGTGTGTAGGTTGGCACTCGGGATCCCAACCTGTGAACCCTGGGCCACCGAAGTAGAGCACGTGAACTTAACCACTAAGCCACTGGGCTGGCCCTTCAAAGCAATCTCCTATAAAGATGGGATGGCAATGATTCTAGAAAATGGCTGAAATGCTCCAAATCTGGTTACTGCTGGAATACTGCTGGATAAGCTATGCTACCAAGAACACTTAGCCCAGTCTCTCTCGCTACCTAAGGAAGCAAACGCAAGGATGCCCTTCAGTGCTTTAGCGATGGCTTTTCTGTCCATTTACTTCCATCTTTTCTTAGAATTGAGTGGGATGTGGTAGGAAGCACATTTATCTTAATTTACGCGAGTATAAAAGAACTTGCCCCCATTAATATTGCCACTTGCTTGTCTAAAAGCCGCAGGGGAGACCTGCGCCCTTACTTTCTTCTGAGAGGTCGTTTTCCTCTGCTTCCCTTTCCATCTCTTTACACCAGCCTTCCATCCTCTTGGTCTCTGTGTGCAGCAGCTTCAAAAACCAGGAGCCGTCCCTGCGGCACGGAGACATCCTTCCCGTTTCTACCGTCTCCATGGACGGCTCCAGCCAGGGGTCGGGCGGGGGCAGGTTTGCAGTGTCCACTGGGGTCCTATAGTCTTCTCTGTAACTGAAGAGTCCCTGGGTCCGGACAGTTCTCACCGCCCCGTACTGGGTGGGCGTGCTCGGTTCCGAATGCCGCTGGAAGGACGAGCCGAACTGGAGGCCTTTGTCCTCCATGGTGATGTGTCCCGGAAAGCCTTCGAGCTCCAGGTCTGCCTGGACGCCGGCCGTCACGCTGTTCGAACGCTTAAAACGCCCGTGTCTGCAGAGGAGGAAGGAAGACAGATGGAAGCCTTTCTGAGATGACTTTGTGCAACAAAACCTAAACATAGCTTATAAAGAACACGCCTGGACCACAGCGATGTAACGTCTCAAGGAAAGGATGAATGTTTTCATCTTTATTATTAATATTTTGGTGTTTCATCTATGAAAGAAGATTTGGTTTCGCAAATAATTAACCTCTAACATCTACCTAAGTCTCAATGTCTAAACCATGCCCACTAAGATACAATGAGGGTTAACGTACCCATGAAACCGCTATCTCAGAACTGTTACCTTCCTTTCAGAAAGATGCTACAAGTTTACACAACTTCCACATGTTGTATGTATGTAAAACCAGCCCTGTGTTGCTTCTTGTTTGTAAATAACATCTGTATCCTCCTGAGTTTTGGTGACTATTCATGTCACATTTCAGGGCATGAGTTTCTTCTCCTATCTGAATAACGTTAATATCAATCCCCATGAAGTCTTTTATGCAAAGTAATGAATCCAAATTCTGACATCAGCAGGCGTTTTAAAAATATTTTCATTGTATGTGTTTGAATGTCACCCATTTCTGCACGGCCAATTACTGAAATGATTGGCAGGAATGAACTTATAATTGGAGTCCAGATATTGCAGCATGAGGAGTGTGTGTGTGTGTGAATGTGTGTGCATGTGTCTGCACAGCCAAACTTTACCCTATTGTGCATTTGGCTCCTCATCAACTGCACCCACAGATGGCACACAGCTGTGAATGCAGCTCGTTAATGAATTTGCCACTTATTTCCTTTGCCAGAGGCAAAGGAGATGAGAAGGAGCCACCAATGGGACCAAATGCAGCCCAGATCCCCAGGAGCAGAAGGTGTCCAGGTTCTAAGAGGTATACTGGGAACCTGAGGAAGCCAATAGTTTGTGGTCTGAATTTCTTTGCAATCAAAATCTGTATAGGTTGAGTCCTAAACCCCTCTGCTATGAGCGATGTCACCCAGGAATTTACTAACTAGATGTAATGAAAGTTCAAGATGTAATGCGCTCATTAAAATTTGACTTTATGAAATTTACAAGATATGCTATTTTAAGTATAAAATTAAACAATCATCCTGCCCTTGTTACAAAAACAAGACTACCCTAATGGACATGCCTGTATTTTACAGTTTGAGTCAGTTCTTTTGAAGTGAAACGATCATGGTACAGCTAAGGTCTTAAACTTCCTTCACCCTCTCTCTCGTCTCTCTTTCCACTTTTAACGTTATAAGGTGAGAAAACCTGCATTGACTTCACCCTCAGCCTATTTTTTTCCTTTGGATAAAGGACTTTGACTTTCAGAGCTGTCAGCCACTCTGCTCTCATAGGTGGTAAATTACTTTAGAAAGAATCATTCCCCCGCCTCTCGCAAAAACAAGACACAGGCAGATGTTAATTCATACTTGAACGATATAAATTGAAAAGTATAAATATATGACCCTGTTTCCACAAATGGCATGAATTATTGATGGTCAGCATGATCTAGAAGCTTGCAATCAGGTTTTAACAAATAGCTCCAGCCAGGGAAACAGCATCTATCTCCAGGGGGCTGAGTTACCGCTTTTCATCTTCCACCTGCACGCCAACTGAGTGGTACTCCCGTAGGCCTCGGCTCTCCGTGTCGGAATCTGTAGCTGTTTCCACCTAATTCAACACAGAACATCTTATTTTAGAACTGAGATATGGGACCTGGGCAAGGGACTATTTGTGTGCCTGTGTGTTCATTTGCTGTAATTAACTACGCATTTGTGTAATCAATGCCGAGAAGCACTTGACCCAGCAAAATCACAAAGAGGGGAGGCATTCATATTGCTGTCGTGATGCTGCTACTGTGTCTCATCCCGTTTTGTGTAACTACTTGAACTCAGTGCTGCACTTCAGTCGTTTAAATGTGTGCAAATAAAATTGCTTAGTTCAGCTCAGGAAAAAAATAGTCTTTGTTGCAGTGTGTTATTATAGGACGGAAAAGCTCTTATCATACCCTACAGTGAAGAAGGGAAGGACAGCATGAACCAGATAGTGCTAAGGACAACAAATAAGCAATTTAATAGAATTATACCGATGGCTGCATCCACATACAGACACAGAAAGGAACTGAAGCGTTTACCAGGAACACTGAAGCAACCTCTCCATCTGTTCCTACACAGAGCTGTCTCACATTTGCTAACAGGACCGTGCCCAGCTGGGCAAGGTCCGAGCAGAACAGGTATCATGTATTCTGCACAGAATCCTTATTGGGGCCATATTTGCCAAAAGGTCTCCCCAAACCCACGAAGCACTTCCATGATCGTCAGCAGTGTTAAGTTAACCCATGAGGGAATTCTAACACAGCACATTTTCTAAAAAACCCCCAACTCTCAGTAGAAAAAGGCTGTGAAACCAAAGGTTAGTTTCATCATAAATATTATCCCAGATGCTCAACCAGCCCTTTCCTTTTCACAAAAAACATCATCTATTGTATTAATAGGACTTCTGACCCCAATCCAAAATGTCATAACTAGGTTGTAAAACACATCTTTTCTTTAAAATATTAATGATCGCTACAGGGGTAACCTATAAACCATTAAACAAATAATTATGACACACTCTTCTGTGAGTTACGAAAGAGAAGGTGTACTTTACAACTGCGATTGTAATTTGTGATTGCCCTAAGTGAAGCCTATGCCATCAAGGGCTGACTCAATCTGCAGTGAATAGAAGTAATGACAATAATAGCTGATATTTATTTTATGCTTACCATGCACCAGGTGCTGTGCTACAGCATAACAAGCATTATGGCACATAGTCTACACGATACCCCTGCCATGGTTTCTAGCCACATTGACCATATGAGGAATCAGAGAAGGTGAGTAACTTGCCTAGGGGTGCACAGCTTGTTGGGAGCAGAGCCAGGATTCACGCCTGGAATCTCTCTGACTGCAGAGCCATGCTCTGCACTGCTCCTCTGTGGTCAGAATAAGTATAGCCACATGAAGACCCTGGAGCTCCTGGTTGGTTACTGAGCCGTGCAGAATGGCCGGGTACACCCCGTTTTTTATTGGAATAATTCTGAAAACATGCATAGAAGTCGTACCTCATTTGTGTTGTATGTTTGGACAGCTGGAAGAGGAAATTGATGACAGGAGGAAGAACATTCCTGAATGAAAATCCTAACCTTGGTGTTAATCACCATTTCTCCTTCTAGTTTTAGGTGGGTCACAGTTTTATCAAATTTTACCTTGCTAGACATGGAGATTGTTGTTATTATTATTTTACACAAAAGGATCACATAAAAATCAATATATTTAAAATGTTGCCCCATGTCCCTGCAAATAGGGCAGCCTTGTGTTTTAACTGCATGCGATTTCATCTTATGCATATAACCTAATTTATTTAATCAGTCTTCAACAGAGGGATAATTTGGTTATTTCTAGTTTTCTGCCATTGTAAATATATGTCTGCACATGTATAAATTTGTGAACTTTTCCTTTCTGTGTGAGGAAGATTAGCCCTGAGCTAACATCTGTTGCCAATCTTCCTCTTTTTGCTGAGGAAGATTGACCCTGGCCTAACATTCGTGCCCATCTTCCTCTACTTTATATGGGACGCCTGCCACAGCATGCCTTGATAAGCGGTGCATAGATCCACGCCTGGGATTCGAACCTACAAACCCCGTGCCGCCAAGGCAGAGCACATGAACTTAACCACTATGCCACTGGGCTGGCCCCTAAATGTGCAAACTTTTGTGAACATATTCATAGCATATGTGGTCTCTGGGTCAAAGGTATTAGATATTACAACTTTGGTAGATATTGTTGAATTTGATAGATGCACGATATGGGTGAAATCAATTCATATGTATACTTTTAGAGAGACTTTCGTCATGGAAAGAGTACTAATTTTTATCATAATTATGTTCAGAATATTTGCCTCACTTAGTCCACTTTTAGGATTCTAGTCTAAAGAAATTACATTAAATTCTGACCAGAGTGTGAGGTCTTCATCAGAGCATCATTTATAAGGTGAAACACGAGGAAAACGAGGGTAGTGAGGTAGGATGGTAACACACAGTCAAAGATGATGTATTCAAGACACAGAGCACCATGCAGTCACCAGACAGTGGTATAAGGATTACAACACGACAGGTGCTTACGACACAACGTGGACTGGGGAACGGACAACAGCTGGTGGCAGGAACAATAAAATCACAGGACGCGTGTACACACGTAAAACAGACACGTACCCACAGATACATAAACGTACTACACAATGACTCACAAATACAACCAAAATACAGCAGAAGGGTTTTCCTCTTCCTTTCTCCAGTCTCCACATTTTCTCTACTATAATTCTCTTATTTCTATAGTGAATGAGAAAAAGAGAGCTTTTGGAGCCAGTCAGATTCTGTGACTTTCTGGCCGTGTGACTCTCAGGCAAGTCTCTCAAATTTTGTTAAGTCCTTTCTTATTAATCTCAAAAATGAGGGAACATGGACCACCTCATCTGATTGACGTAAAACTCCGTATGAAGTCAGGTTCAGGTAAGTTCATCCACTGCAAATATTATTGCTCTGTCCTTTCCCCTCGACTTTCAAGATCATCTGGTAAACGAGGATATGGATATTAAATTCAAGGAATACATGTGTAATGGATTTAACAGATTTTACAGTGGTTGTTATGAGAACTTTTCTAAAAAGAATGAAGGTATCTCTATTTTCAGCAGGTAAAGGCCGAGGGGGATCTGAGAAAGTCATATACGGCCAGAATGAGCTAAATATTTGCCAATTTCAGAAATCCTGGGAGGAGACAGCTTTATGCAGATAGAAAAAACCCAGAAAATTTAGGACAAAGAAAAGGAATTACTATTTTGTGTGGTGGAAGGGAAGTCAAAGGAATCATTTCCCAAGAGGACACTCTGGCTAGAAGCGTAAATGGATTTTAAAATTTTTGAGGAATATATGCATGTGTTCATTTTTACAAGATCCACTGTGTTCTAGGTATTGAGGAGAAAGATGAATCAGCAAAACACTGTATTTTGAGTGAACCCTGTTTGAAGCATATGCTGTATTTGAGGGGCTCGCTGATGAACGGGGGTCAGACATCCACCTAGTCACTGCAGTGAGCCGGGGCCCTTCACAGGAGAGTATTTGGCCCTGTGGAATCCAGAACCCTGCCCACCATGTCCCTGGGCAATGTCAGAGGGATTTATGCTGGGCTGCACACCATGACGGGGAGAGGGAGGACATTCCTAAACGTGATCTGTTTAAGAAGCAAGGAGTTTGGTGCAGCTGGTGTGTGTGAGTGAGTGTGTGCACATGTGTGAGCATGCACCTGTGACTGTGCATGCTCATGTTAGTATGCACATGTGAGTGTGCACATGTATGAGTGTGCATTCATGTGTGTAATCGTGCACATGTGCGAGTGTATGCATATGTGTGAGCATGCACACGTGTGCGAGTGTGCACATGCATGAGTGTGCACACCTTAGTACACATGCATATGTGAGCACACACATGTGAGAGTGTGCATGAGTAGGTGAGTGTGTTCACAGTGCGAGCATGCAAACGTGCACCCGTAAGTGTGCACATCCATGTGAGTGCAGACATGCAAGTGTGCACATGTGTGAGCATGCACTGAGCACAAGTGTATGCACATGTGTAAGAGTGTGCACACGTGCGAGAGTGTGCATATGTGTGTGTGAGTATGCCCGCACGTGTGCGAGTGAGCGTGCATATTGAGAGGCGTGAGCTGGGGAGGAGGCAGGCTCCCGTGTGCTGGTCCCCATCTTGCACGTGGCCAGGTTTGTGGGACATCAAGGCTGATCCGGGACCCAGGGGAAGGGATCCAGGACCCAGGAGAAGGAATCCGGGCTGGGAGCCATCACCAGAAGTAGTCGGGTGGAGCTCTGATCTCCAGTGTTTGCTCCCTAAACTCAGGTCATTTTACGCTCTGCCTTCAAAACTCCACACGTAGCAAGGCAAATCCATTGCGTCTGATACAAAGTCATTGTATTTCCCTCGGGGACCTATTATAAGTCCAGAGTTGAAGACGATTTGCCAACCCTGCTGCCTGAGATGCCTACAGCTCTTGCGTTAGCAGTTGTGAGAGCAGGTGGGGAAGGCACGGCTGGAACGTCGAAGGGCACAGACTGGCGAGGAGGGACTCTGGGTCTGTGGGTAAACCAGTGTTGTTTAGGGAGGACACTTCGATGGAACAGGAACACAGGTTTTCAGGGTTGCCATCGTTTAGTCCCACAACCGGTGACATAACAGCGTGGAGACTGTCCCATTGTAAAGATGGGGCTATTCCTGAGTGTTAACCAGACCACAGCATCTTGGAACACGAACCATTCTCAACAGAGTTCACACACACATACACACACACACACACACACACACGAAAAGTGAAAACTCTGCAATAATAGACAAATCACATAAAAACAGAAAAACGAACACACAGAGAACAGTTAGAAGCCACCATTGTGAGGAGGAGAAGGGAAGTCGGGCGGGGTCAGGGATTCGGGTCGGGTGACAGACGCTCTCTGGACATCATTAGAAAGGCCCACGGTCACAACCCCAACCCTGCAGGAACTGCTGGGAGAATGCCCTGTGAGCCGAGGGAGTCAGGGCCCGAACCCCAGGGAGGTTGGAGGGCCTGAGCGCCACGGAAGGTGCGTGCAGCAGGATGACTCAAGTCAGCAGAGAGAACAGTGCTTGTGAACTGAAAATCCTCTCCCCCGTTTCCCTGGTCAGCTGTGGTTCTGGGCAGTCAGGCAGCGGTCAGGGGGGGAGTCCACCCCATTGAGTGCCGGTTGAGGGCGGAGAATGCCAGCACCTTTCTCTACAAGGGGCAGGACAGAGTGACCCTACTCTCAGTGTCCAGAGCCAGGGACAGACCGCTGTCCTCTGCACAGGCTGGCAGTGGATGCACTAGGCTCAGGGAGGCCCTGCATCCCCATCCTCTCACTTCTCCTCTTCGGGAAGGAGGGCGGACTGCGGGCTCTGGAATTCCAGCCACTCGGCTTCAATCTCAGCTTTGACACTATTGCTATGTACCCGTAGGCAAGTCATTTACCCCCCAGCCTCAGTTTCCCCGTCTGTAATTTGGACGTGAGACCAACTGGCACCAGTGTTACTACGAGGATCGAGCGAGCATTTGGGAAGAGCCGGGGGCACGGCGACGTGTCCACAGCTTGCTCTTTTACTCGTTACCATGATGATTTTTACTTTACGCTGTGACAACATTGACGCTGTCCTCGGCTGTTCTTCTAGCACCTTCGGGGAATCTACGCCCGGTCTTTCCATCTGCTTACATTGCCATTTCTTTCTGTTCCTTCGTTCTTGGCTCTTTGACTGGGCTTCCTACACTCACCCATCTTTCATTTTTTTGACTCTTATTTATCTTAATACTTGCGTTTCTGTGACTATGTTTTCTCTTGACTTTTCAATTCACTTCAATTTGACAACCGCAAGGCTACAAGCTCATGTAACATTGTGCATTTTTTTTACCGCCGTGAACGACAGTTGGATCTGTTAGACACGTGCATCCTTGTGTTCACACTTATTTTCACCAACACTCATCCGTGGACTCACCCGCCACTCGCGCACCCAACACTTACGGAGCACTTGCTATCTGCCAGGCACTGTGCTGGGTGCTGGGTTATCAAGAGGCGGGAGGCAGAGCCTCAGCCTGCACAGAACAGGTGGTTTGGGGGGACAGTGTCAGAAGTGGCTTCCGGGGGAGTTAACACGTGAACTGAGTGTAGGCAGGCGAGCAGGGGGTGGAGTAGAGAGGAAGGACATTCTTGCAGAAGGAGAGGCATGGCTGCTAGAAGCAGAGTGGGCTACGAGGTGAGTCAGGGGTGTCAGGGGCTTCTGAGGGTGGAGTGGAGGCAGGAAGTGGTGGCATCCTTTACCAGCCTGGTATCTAATTTGACGGGTTTCTGGCAGCCTGTTCCCACTATTTTCAGATAAAGTCAGCAGCTCCATGTGTTCAGAAATTGACACCCCCCCACCCTTGTTTGGGTGGGCAGCTGAGAGAAAGCCTGTGGAAGGGGGCAGGTGCGAAAGCCAGAGGATGTGAAGTTGGCCTCCCTAATTTGGGCACCTCACAAGTCTTCCCTGGAGACATGACTTCAGAGCCAGAGCGATGGGCGCAGGAACCTGGCTGTCCCATGTCCCAGCCCTGTGGCCCCAGCACGACCATTGACTGCAGCAAGTTGCTTGCCCGTTTTGTGCCCCATCATTGTCCTCATCAAAGAGGGGCTAATTATACATCATCGGGGGTGCAAGTTTCCCTGCGATCCTATGGGAGCACCTAGCATAGTGCCTGGCATATAGACTCAGGACAGAGAGAGGTGACAAGAGCAGTTGTATGGATAATCCCGAAAAGGGAGATAAAATGAAATTCATGCGTACTTGGCTTTGCAGTATGTTTGGTACTTACATCTGACCTTGGGTATGGCTGATGCTCTGGGAATTCAGAATCCTAAACAAAACAATGAAGCCACAGTGTGGAGACCTGGTTCAGAGGACCTAGACAAGCGGGCAGCCTCCCCAGCCTGCTCTCCCGTGTCCCCGTGACGCCCAGGATGGCGCTACCCCGCTCACACCAGTGCCAAGCACCCATGGCTCTCAGCCAGAGTGCCGCTCGCCCTCCTCCCTGGCAGCAATGAAGCCCTCTGATTTTTATAGCTGCTGGCTGGGCACAGGCTGAATTGAGGAGCGACAGGAAGCACCAGGTGAACCGTGTCTGTGAAGGACCCGGTAAGAACCCTGCCTCGCCCCGTCTACACAGCCTCAGGGGAGAGCCAACCAGATAAGTCACAGGGGAATTCGTCAGTGTGAGGAGTGTCCTGTGCGGTCCCTGGGTGGGAAGTGAGCTGGAAGGCGGCTCCTGTTTCTCAGCTCAGAGCCTTCCCCTCCCTGCACTCGGGGTGGACGTGCTGAGCGGAGTTAGGAGTGGACGCAGGGCAGAGGGTAGGAGGGAGGACAGCCGGAGGAAGGGCACCGCCAGGTCTGCATCTTGGGCAGATGCTGGGGCCTCAGGGGATGTGGGTTAGCCCTCGGTGGTCTGAAACCATGGATGCGGCGTCTGTGACCACAGCTACCACCCAAGAGCCTCCTGCGGCTGGTGCAGAAGCACCTTCCGGCTGCCCCGCCTGGGTACCCGTGAGCATCATCCCTTGTTTGTACCAAACAGGTCTTTCTTCCCCTCTTTGTTATCAATGCCCTTGTCTCCCCACTCAACTGTTTGGCTGCAAGACTGAAAACCTTTTGAAAAATCTGGTTTCAAAAAAACCATCCTTCTTAAGCATCAAAATAACCTACATCCATGCTCTCTAAGTAGCTAGTGGCCCCTAGAAATGCCCTGGGGTGGGGTGGGGTGGGTGGGGGACTTCTGGTGGCAGGATGGGCACCAGGCCTGGGACCTGAGCTGCCCTGGGCGGTGGCCCAGCTGCTGCACTTGCAGACAACGGGAACTGAAGACCTTCCTGGGCGTCTCACGGCCTGCGAGGCTCACGCTTACCGATAAGGAGCCAGGGCCAGGGCTCGCTTGTGCCTTAGTCTATGCTATTTGCAGAGCTGGGCGGAGCAAGCGCCAGGGCCGCGGCAGAGAGAGTACCTGGATCCCGATGGAGGAGCGCCGGCTCTTGAGGAACTCCTCGGCCTTGGACATGAGCACGGCCTTGTCGCTGGTCCGCGTGGAGCTGGTCTGGCCCTCGGAGACGAGGCGCTGGGCGGCGGCCGTCTCTAGGGCGAGGTTCATGGCCTTGTTGCTGTCCAGACTGTCTGTGGAGTTGTAGAGGCCGCGGCTGTCCTGGGGCCACGGGGACATCCTCTGGGCGCGGCTGTCCTGGTAGGCATCCTGGGTGGACTCGGTGCTGCTCTGCGCCGTCACCGAAATCAGAGGCTTGGAGGTGGTCCGAGGGGGTACGGGGGGCGGTGTTTTTTTATAATTTGTATATGAGACAGCTGTAAGAAAAATCAATGTCCCAGGTCAACAAAAGCATATTTCCCCGCACGGACATCTGGTCTACAACATCCACATGTTCATTCCCTATGACCATCAAGCAAGTCTGTTCCTGACGGACAGCCTCAGAAAACAACACAAAACAGGAGAAAGCGCTGTGTGCTCAGAGATAGTCTACACGGGTACATTTATAACAGTGAAAAGTTATAAAAGCACCAAAAAACCCAGCAATGGCGACAGGATTAAGTAATTTCTGACTCAGCAGGACAGAGGCAGCCACACCATAATTTCATGCCAGCCACGGCATCATGGAGAAACGCTCATTTTATAATGCTAAGTTAAAAAGCAGGATATACTAAATTACATCCAGGCTAAGATGTAATATATTTGTAAAGAAAACCTGTGTATGAAAAAAGATCAGAAGCACGTAAAAACGTAAGTCACAGTCACCATTCAGGACAATATGGGGGATTGTTTTCTCTTCCACTTCTCTGTGCATTCTAAAAATGCTTACAATGGAGAAAACACACACTACCAGAAGACTGTTTGCTGCACATTACTGGGTCTAAACTGGAGGGGTCAAGCAGAAGGGCAGCGGGTCTCCAGGTCTCTCCCGGCCCAAGGATCCTCCACCTTTCTGCCCATTACAGCCACTGCACTGCCTCCTAGCCCTGCAGGGCACACTTGAGTTCTACACTCACTGGCTATACATAAATCCACCCGACAAAAATAAATGCATCTGGACGTGAAATTAGGTTAAATTTCTCTTAGAAGCAACCCAAAACTCATTAGACATATTTGCCGGGCTCAGGGTGTTACTTATTTTTACAGCAAGGATGAACCATTCCCGGTGCTCCATGTGGATACAGATGGGTGTTCCATTACTGGTGACTATTTTTCTTTATCTGGAAGGGAAGAATCCACAGAAGCGCTTCTGAAGGGAACTCGTGTGCCCTTCATCACCACGCAAAGCAGCCGCGCCCGCAGAGTCTGCAGACGTGTGAAGGGTGTGCGCTCCGCGACCAGACATGCACACGAGCATCTCCTGGAGGGGCCTTAGCAACATCTGTGAGGACAGACTGAGCAACAGTTTCCTTTAAAGACTTTCAGAAACTGTGTCTGAGAATGACTGACCTGCGGCTGCTCGTGGGAATTGGTCGTTTCTGCTGTTCTGTTCCGGGGGATTTCATCATACCTCCTACGGCTTACCCTCGCCTCCAGTTATTTTTAATCTGTGTGAATGGACTTTCCTAATAAATAAAACCTCAAATGCCATCCCAAATGAACACGAGCAAATAACAACAAATGAACTTGTCATGTCAGGACGACCTGAGTTTTAAGGAATAAACATTGCACGTGAAAACTTAGGACAATTTTTAGAAGAACGCATCAGAAAAAGACTCGCAGAAAACAGATGGAGGAAGATGGCTGTTGGAGAAGTGGGCTTAGAGCTCTGTCTACATCAGAGAAACATCTACAATCACCTCTTTTTTATTTTAAAGACTTTTTTCCAGTGTTAATCAACCTCCAAAGGAAAATTATTGAAAACTGACTATATTCAAGGCATTATTCCAGGAGATTCAGAGACATGTAAGATCTGGTTCTCAACCTCTGACGCTTATGAACTGGTTGACATTTTAAATGTAGATGTGGTGCCTCCTTGACCGGAGGCTGCTTGTGGCCAGTAGGAACAGGCGGCCTTCTCCAGCCCCCGGGCATGGTCCTTCTCTCCTGGAATGCCTCTCTCATCCTTCTCCTCCCCACCACCATCCAAACTCCAGCTCCCTTCTACCTGAATTCCTGCCTTCACCAGGGCGGCTTGAACATCCTCATCCAGGACCCATCCTACCCTTGGTGTCAAAGTGGCTAAAATATTTTGGTCGGTTGAAGACCTTTGTCTCCATCTGATTTCAGTAGATCACAAACGTGTTCACCCTCTGAGCCTTGAGTTCATTTGAGGAAGATGTTCACTCCTGCCGTGCTGTGCTCTCCCGCCCTCATCTCTTCCTTCTCATCCTCTCTCACTCCCATGTCTTCCCTCTCACTAAACTTCAGAGACAGCCAGACCCTTTATTGAATTTTAAACCTTTTCCCTACGCGTCGTCAGCCTCTTCACCTCCCCCTCACAAACCTACAATTCCACCTCCCCTGCTAAGCTCTCTCTCACATTCTCCCATTAGATCCTCCTATAGTGTCAGCCAGTAGTGCTCCACTGGGGTGATCTTGTCTCCTCTCTCTCCCAGGGGACTCTTAGCAATGTCTGGGGATGTTCTTGGCTGTCACAACTGGGGTGGGTGGTACCTTGGCATCTAGTGGGTCGAGGCTGCTAACCATCCTCCAGAGCACAGTCAGCCTCCACCACGAAGAACTATCCAGCTCAGAACTGTCAGTAGCGCCAAGGCTGAGAAATTGAGGTTAGACAGATCATTTCATCTTTCTGGGTGGGACTCATTTGCCCGTATGCAATAAAGGGACACATGTGTGGGCAGATCATCCCATAACTTCCCTTCTGTTTGGCTATCAGCTTTGGTGATTCCCTCTTCTTCCCAATCTGGTATAAGGATTACTGGTTAGAGTGCATTAATCTCTCCTTGACAGTGGTGGTCCACTGAAAATTTCCTTTTTATCAAGGGTTCCTTAATATATCTCATAATGTTGATATATCAAGGGTATTAAGTGTTACAACACACATGAATAGGAGAAATGGTAGGTAAAGTGGGAAGGAAGCTCGTCAATAGAGTTTTTCATATGACAACATTGGAAACGAAGTGGTTGTTTTCATGGCAACCCATCGTCGTGGTTCATTTATGGAAAAGAGAGTCTTTATCCTTTAACGACATGTCTCCAGATGCTACCAATCCAGCAGAAAGGAAGCCCCGCCATCCTCCATGCTCTGCAGAATAACCGTGTCTAGACGCTCTTGATAAAACCTCACACCACAGAGTTAATTCTGCTTTGGTTCTCTTAAGCAGAAACATCGATTCTGAAGAAATTTCATGTCCCAGCAACAGTGGTAATGATGATGAGAGAGAGGGCGAGAGAAATACAGGAATGTAGACGAGAAAGCTATGTCTATCTCAGTCTGTTTCTCTTTACAGTGTTGAGATGAGAAGAAATGTTATAATAAGCCTGCTCTACTGGCTGGTTTTCCCAGCTGTGCTCATGTCACCAGCGATGATGACATATGCACGGGCACCATGACACCACCTCACGGGCACGCACAATGGAAAGATCCCTCCGGAAATTGAAGCAAACGCGCTCAGCAAAATTCATTCGCAGTTTGGCTCACTAACTATTTCATGGTTATTCTCAAAGGTTTCCCTTCACTCCCGTTCAAAACCATAAATCTTACCAAATGTATTTAGTACAATTTAAAGAGTCAGAAAACTTGACAAAACAACTAAAACTTTCTCCCTGTATGGATATCTTGTAAATAAAAAAAAAAAAATACAGTGTTATGATTTATCTCCACGATCACAGGAAATCTAATATCACATCTTCTCACCTTATAATGTGTTTGCCATAGCGTGATAATATGAATTTTTAAGTTGATTTCCTTGTAAAAATGTAGTTGGACAACAAACTTTCATAACAAATTAATTAAAAAGGGGCAATCGTCTCTCGAACTGACTTTATCCAAGCCGGGGAAGGTGAAACAGGCATTTTCCCTGAGTGACGAGAGAGAGATTATGCTGTTTTCAAACCTGTGTCCAAATGCCAGTAGGCCTGCTCTTGGGACCACTATATGGAAACATGATTTGATGGATTTGCTGTACCGTTTGTCCAGAGCGGCACGGACGGTACAATGTTGGTGGAACCAATTTCATAGCAGCTCATAGAGACTATTACTGATTGGTTTAATTGGTAAAAGTTATAGTCCGAACTTTTCTGGAAGAGTAATATTCTTTACCATCTCAGCAAAGCCCAGATGTTGAAGTAGTTACCTAGGCTACTGTATTCTCCTAACAAACATTTTAGAAAGTACGTGCAAATATATGCTTTTTTACTGCTTAAAAAAATCAACTGCTTACTGGCATTGAAGTCATCTAATCATTAATTTTCACTGTCCAACCATTGATGGAGATTTTATAAAGACACATAGTTCAATGTGAGGTGTTGCTATGGATGCTGTTACTATGGACATTCCAAAGCCTGCAGCTGATGGAGACCAAAGAGATCTTGCAGCTTCTTCCATGTGGGACCAATGTCACTTGCCTTTCAGGCATCATTTGGTGCTATAATATTGTAAGATTCTTTGGTTTCAGTACTCATTTATCTGGAGCCTAAGGGACTGGCTCCAGTGTGCTCACAATCAAATTGAAGAGGTGGGCAAAGTAACCGAGTAGGCATCGGAGTCTAGGAAAAGCCTGAGAAAAGGATGACATAGGAGTTAAAGGGAGGCTTCCTGGAGGAGACGGGCCTTGGGCTGAGTCTTGGAGGATGGACCCAGCCGGCCTTGTGGGAAAGGACAAGTGCAAAAGACAAAGCTTGTCCACTCCATGAGTGGATCCAAGTATGCGTGCACTCACGGTGCCTGATGCTAGAAACACGGCACTGAGTGGAAAAGGGATTCAGAGTCAGTGGGTCAGCAGTTACTGATAAAAAGACGCTTCTCTCATTTAAAAGATACTCTAAAATTTAATTTGACTTTTCCCCAGTGGTCTGGAAGCTCTCATTTGGGGGCTAAGTTGACTAGCTACATTAGTTTTTCAGGGATGCAGGCTACCACCTCCTTTCCTTATAAATGTTAAGAATTTTCTTCAAATTTTTTACTTTGTGGGGGAAACATCAAATTACCATTCTACTGTTCTCTCTTCCCCACAATGGAAAAATATGCTCTAATGTTCAAACTCTTGCTTTGATACATTTTAGTACTTTAATATCTTGATCTGTTATTGCAATTGTTCAACTTGAACATGATGCTTATTGTTCCATATCTTAAACTCACTACAGTTGACCTATAATTACAGCATCTTAGGACTCGCAGACAAGGATGCTCTTA